GAGTAAGTTGGTGGAAGCTAATGGAGCTTTTGTATCTATGTAGAGGTTTCGTCGACCACTGAGTCACAAGGGCTGATCTGACTTCCTAGTTAGGTGAAGCATTCAACACACTGAACCATTTTACTCCGTATTATTATCCAGAGCATTGTTGAAGACCAGTCCTGGAGCAAAAATTTGAATATGGGTGGCTAGAAACGCATCCTAAACAACAATGAGGAACTTCATGGAATGGTAAGACGTCTTAGTCTGGGCACTGACACAATGAAGTGTGGGTACTTAAAATCGATAAGCCTTTGTACGAAGTTCTACGTTGATCTACCTGTCCTATGTTAAGTTGACATCAATCGGATAACCGCTTGGGTATGAACTGAACACCTTTGATCGGCACCATGATTTCACAACAGTCTCCACACAGTCAAAGTAGATGGAGTAGCTACGCTTGCGTTCCATAGACAAAATCTTAACTTCTCACTGATTCAGTTACATGCTATAAGTGTGGATGAATTCATGAGTAAAAGTCATTTGATAAAACTCAATTAACTCAACGGTTCTTAGCTTCTTATTTTGACTTCACTCGACTTTTAGTAATTTTACCTTACACAGGCTGAATTCTACTCCAACTGTCATCTGTTTATTCAAGGTAACGCGTCATTGAGCCTCAGAATAACAGGTATAACTGATAGACCAATGCAAGAACCTACTCGTGGTCGAAGACAAAGCACTAGTGAGTAACTCACGCTATACCACAAGGTTGAATGAATACAACCACTATACAAAACAAGCTCATTAATCACTAGGCTATCCTATCCGAAGATATCACGTTTGTATGCGCCACTTTAGAAGATTTAGCATAGTGTTGTTATGATACATGTAATTTCCCGTTGCTATACAGGGTCGAACGACTCAACCTCTGTTGATGACTATCATGCTCCAGTGGCGTAGTGGATAACGCTCTAGTGTTCGAAGTAAAGGGTAGTGGGTTCGAGCCACGGTGGGAACAACACCACTCGGCACTGGGGTGCAGGTGCGTCCAACTGACGAGTCCCAAATGGGACGAAACGTACGTCCTGCATTCCTCTGCTAGTCACTAAGATCAATATGACATCATGAATATCCAGCAGTACTGAGGCATCCGCATAGTAGCCTATCTGCCAACAGAGTTCAAACAATTCGGCCCTGTATAGCAACGGAAAATTACAAGTATCATTACAATAACTGACACCCGTTGCGCAAGAGGTGGATATCGTGACCCAGTGGCTTAGTGGATCACACTCTGACGCTTGGAGCGAAGGGTACTGGGTCAAGCCCCTCGGCTCTAGGGTGCAGGTATAGCCGGCTGACGAGTCCTCGATAGGGTGAAACGCATGCCCTGGATTCCCCTGCTAGTCACCAAGATTGTATTAGCATAGTGTATTGATGGAACGTCCTAGATTTGCATAAAACATCGTTTACTAATCTAAACATTTTAAATTCTCGTTTTTTTGCCATTTTTTACGGCACGGTCAGTGGTTCATTTCCACCTCATCCCGTCCCCCCGTCTTTTCAAGGTAATCCGCTGATTGGTTAATACTTACTTTTTGCTATTTTAATGTTTCAAATTCTGGACAAGATCATATGTCATTTGTTTATATACACACATACGTGCTTTTTTAGTTAAGTGACTATTCATCACAGAGGAATAAATTCTCCTATCCAGTTCAGTCTTCTTGATTTCGTCCGGGTTGGAGTCGACGGATTTTATGTAAGAAGTTAGCTGTCAGTGAAGCGAGCATATTATATCCTCTCGTATATATATATAACACGTTATTACTTAGTAATAAGGAATATAGTTGATTAATTTTTTTGGAAAACGCAGTGCATATTAGGTCGATAAAGACTATGTTTATAAACCATACTGGTGCTGGCATGAACTGAAACATATCGAATTGAAATGCACTCACCAACCGTATGAACGTTCTTACAGTTCATAATGACAGGCACACTTATGGCATAAGACCCAATAATGCTACTTAACTATACAAATATGAGTAGATGGAAAGACGTTTGAATACGTAAACCACCAGCTGAAAGTTAAATACTTAAACTAACCCTAACCAGAAAGAGGCATTTCCACTAATCGGATAAAATTTGATTGATATGAAACTTAAAAACTACAGCAATCACATGGATACTCATCAACTTAGGAAAAATGCAACTTTAATGCAAAGTTCCACATACACACACACATATATACATCATTCTGTATGTCTAGTACCAGCCAAGAAAGGGTAAATGTGTATCTAATACTTTCGACCATCGATTGAGAGTGTAATATCCTATTAATTTGCTGTCTATGATTCTATTTAGTTTTCGTAGTATCACCTTATAGCTTAATTCTCGCACCATTCATCAAGTAAATTCATTGTATGTGAAAACTACTCATCGACTTTGAAAAGGCCTTCAACAGCCTCGACCGAGAAGTAATTTAGCAACTGCTTCAACACCACAGCTTTACCGTCATAAAGCTTCATCAACTTCATTCAAAAACTATATGAAGACGCCACATGCCAAGTAATTCAAAATGGAAATCTCAGTGGGCCTTTGAAGTGAAGATAGGAGTAAGAAAAGGCCACCATCTACTATCACCCTTGATCTTCCTGATTGTGGTCGACTGGATCATGAAACAAACTAAGAGGAGCAAGAAGAGGGGCATACGCTGCCCGGACCGATGAAAAGACCCCATGAGACTTTGATTTCTCCGATCACGATTCGTGTCTAATGTCTCGTCGCACAAACTCGAAGATCTACAGGCAAAAACTAACAAGTTGACAGAAGAGGCAAGGCAGTACAGCGAAAACGGGACTCCAAGTGAATGTAGAGAAGACAGAGGTGATGAAGATACCCAACCAACGCCACCAGTATCAACGGGAGAAACTTAAAGGAAGTAGTCTCTCTCACCTACACCTACCTAGGTGAGGCAGCATCGTTTCAATTACAGGTGGCCGTGGCGGTCGCGGTGGCAGTGGCGGCACAGATGAGGACGTCAAAGTCAGCCCGAATCACAAAGACAGCAAGACAGGCCTTCCTGCATCAACCTGAAACCAGTGTGAAGATCTTCTGCACTCCACTCAGCATAAAGCGTGAACAACATTCGGATTTTCAACACCATTCCAGTCAAGTCAGTAATTCTGTATGGTTCAGAGACTTTGCACGTTACGGAAAGCATTTCCAACAAACTACAGATATTCATCAACAACTGCCGCCTTCGCTGGCTCGTTACTGACACTGAAGATCAGATGGCTAGGATAATAAGAGTAAGCAACAAGGAACTGTGACTGGCTGGCTGGCTGGCTTGCAACGAACCAACCAACAACCTATCGCTCAACAAATATGCAGAAGAAGAAGGTGGAGATGCATTGAGCATACACTAAGAAGGCCGAATGAGGACATCACGCGCCGGATTAGGCCGTCGATTGGAAGCAAAATGGGAACGGCGAGTTGGGCGTCCCACGGTTACATAGAGGAAACTGTGTAAAGAGGAAATGAGAGCTTCTGGGCAGTTGTGGAGCCTGGTTCAAAAGACTGCAGAGAACAGAGTGGAATAGAGGACGTGCTACTGAAGCTCTATGCTTTACTAGGAACCTAAGGTACAAATAATAATAAGTGTGAAAACTATAGTCGAAAACAGTGATGACATGATGAAGAAAAATTTCTTACATACAGTACTCTTTAACTCAGTATGTGTTACTGAGCATAGTGTAGAATGTGGTAAGCGTGGTCCATCTTCGCTAATGCGTTTCTTCTGATCTTTCTTGGTCTCCTTATATCTTACTGATTTCTAGGGAAATCCTTCGCTTGACCTTTTATGTTAGAAAACTCAGCCTCTATTCTTACGTTTCATCCATTCCTGAGTTTTACCTATACTTATTGTTCCTCCTCATTCTTTCCTGAACTCCGGAAAAAAGACTACGTTGTATTGAGTAGGATTTTGAAGGCTGTCAGTAGAGCAAGTAGCACATCCCGCTAACCAAGCTGCTAAATGCGATGCTTGATAAGCATCTGAACTCTTGTAGACTACTGATTAAAAATATTCTTTATCTGATGATAGTCATCCTTTGTATCCCCATCTCTCTCCCTATCTGTTGTCTGGGAAGACAAGAAGCAAATACATTAATGCCTATGCACGCAAAACTAGACACAAAAATTCACTAATTTTGTGAAGAAAATCTTGTTACACCATGCTTGGTCTTATCAGTCAACTGTGTAATAGCGAATAGTTGTCATGTCCCTGAAGTCATTCAACATTTCAATAATCCTATTATTCCTTACTTTTTATTATATATTGTCAAACTGAATCACTGTTATTGTTCTAAAAATGTTGTGCTATCGGTAAATTGGTGAAATAACACACAGAGAGAATTCTGTAATGTAAACATAACGATGGTGCAGAATAAAGAAAATATATCATTATTATTACTATTTACTGACATACTTGTTATTCTCCGTTGTTTTGTTGGATTGAATTGTTCGACCTCTGTTGGTATATGGGCTCCTATGCAGACGCCTCAATATTGCTTGAACCCTAATTCTGATAGCTTAGTTGGTTGTGGTTAGCAGAAGAATCCAGAAGGAGAGTTTCATCCTATTTGGGACTCGTCAGCTGGATGTATCTGCACCCAGTGACGTTGTCCCCACTGAGACTCGAACCTCGTACACATCGCTTCAGACGCCAAGGCGTTATCCACTATGTCACAGAGGAACGATAGCCACTTTTTGTACGACCGGTGATAGTTATTACTAGTTGTTGACATACTTGTTATTCCCCGTCGTTTCGTTCGATCGAATTGTTCAACCTCTATTGGCATATGGGCTCCTACGTGGATGTCTCGATATTGCTTGAATGTTAATTATGGGTTCTTCTGCTAGCCACAACCTACCGAATTATTATTATTATTATTATTATTATTATTATTATTATTATTATTAGTATTAGTATTATTACAATGATTCCAAAAACTCACCCATTTGACCTGAAAAGGGTGCAATATGTAGATGAAGATTGCCAAGTCCTCTTAGAGGCCTGTAAATGAAACACATTTAAGAAGAGGGATGAAAACACAAACAACTTACAGTATCACGACATTCGTTGTGATATATATATATATATATATATATATATATATATATATATATATATATATATATATATATATATATATATATAAAGTGCGAATATTCGATGGGTAATTTACTGACTGAATCGACACTAACATATGAAAATTAGAAGACAACTGGTTCAGCAGATTGACCACTTCACTTATCTGGTAGCTTTTCACCGAACTAAGTGGTTCGATGGTCGATGAAATCTTGATAAGGATACAAAGGCTGGGTCAAATTTCATCGTCATCATCATCATCATCATCATCATCATCATAGATCAACATACGACAAGGCATTATTGCGTAACGGTCTGAGTTCCACACCTCATGAAGTATAAAGGTAGTGAAGTGGAAGATGAAGAAAAGAAAATTCACTCAAAAGAAATATAAAGTACCAGAAGAGAGAAAGGAAGAATGAGATGGTGAGATTCGGTATAGCGTCGTTAAGATGAGGATGATGTGTATATGTGTATACATCTGCGCCACTCATATCAGTTCTGAGCCATATCACCTACAGTCTCCAGCCACTGGTTCCTCTTGTCCCATGGACCTCGATCGACTAATCTGCATCGTCCAAAATGGCTCAAACCAACATTGATGCTATATTGTAGTCTGGTCACCTCGGGCTTCTTTCCAGCCTGAACCTACTTCGGTAAGCATTGTGTGACGAGGCAGACGATGACTAGGCATACGCAACTGGGTCAAATTTAGCTGATATTATAACCAAATATCTGTTAAGGACCAAATGGATTGTATAGCATTGAAGACGGAGCTCGAGAACTGTAAACACCAGAAAAACAGGTAGACATCTTCATACCCAGTAGTGAGTGTATCGATCAGATACTCAGCCTCCATCAGGTTTTAGAACACAAGCAAACTTACCAACACTGGTTGTATTTTTCAACCTAAAGGCGGTATTCGACTCTGTTGATCGAGAGGCGCTGTGGAAATGTCAACTATTCACAGGGGTGATGGCTACAAACACCGTTATGTTGAAGGATTGGGCAACCGTGGGCGTATCAGAGTCTATGTTCAGTTGCTAGATGAGTTGTGTAGATCGAGTGGTATCCATCCAGGACATCAAATCTCTCTATTTATATTCAGCTTTACCACAGACGTATTTTTGAAGGTCTCCCCCGCGTTATCTAACTTTACATGAATTGATCTAATCCCAATCGACCTAGAGCGCTCAGATGATAAAGTCGTATAAGTTTAAGATACAGAAAAGATGTAAGGTCTTCAGTACATCTTGAATGGCAAATTAAGGATGTTTGAGATGCGTTTCTCCACACCCAAATGCGAATAGCTGCTCCTCAACTGGTCTAAATTGGTATCCTGTCTAAAAACAGACAATGAAGTGGTTCCGTACATTCATCATCATCATCAATATCAACATAGGACCAGGCATTATCAAGTAACGGTCCCACTTGCCACACCTCATATCATTACATCAAGTAAAAAGGTAGTGAGGTGAAAGATGAAGATAAGAGAATGCAGTCAAAAGAAATATAAAGTACTAAAGGAGAGAAAGGAAGAATGAGAAAATGGTGAGAATCGGTATACTGTTAAGATGAGGATAATGTGTGTGTGTGTGTGTGTGTGTGTGTGTGTGTGTGTGTCTGTATACATCTGTGCCACTGACATCGATTCTCAGCCATATGATCACCTAGAGTCAGTCTCCAATCACTGCTTTCTCTTCTCCCGCAAACCACAACCACCTAGTCTGCATCATCCCACATGCTTCAAACCAACAGTCAACAACTTCATACATTGGCTCCATGTTTTAGTCTGGCCACCTCAGACCTTTTGCCAGCCTGGACCTACTTCGACCAACATTGTGTGACGAGGCAATCGGTGACTAGGCGTATGTAGTACGTGTCTCAACCATCTCAGTTGATGAAGGTTCATAGCCTCGTCAATTGATTTACCTCTACTCCCTAAAACTCTATACCTGACGTCTGCATTACTCACGTGGTGACACTACGGAATAAGGCCTATACTACGAAGGCAACGGTGGTCAAACACTTGAAGCCTTCTCATATCTTCCACCTTCGATGGCCATGTTTTGCAGCCATAGAGTAGAACAGACTGAACTACTGTGCAGTACACGCGACCCTTAATAGACAATCGGATATCACGGCAACGCCATAGGTGGCGTAAGTTGGTGAAAGCCAGCCGATCCTTTTGTATCCGTGCAGAGATTTCATCGGCGATTGACCCAGCACACTCATCTACTTGGGAAATAGGATCAGCCCTTGTGCGTTGTCCAGTAACTGATGGAATCTCTGCACAGTTAAAAAAGGCTCGATTGGCTTCGGCTAACTTACATTTATTATAGCGCCAATGTTATATTCGATTGTTGACTAAGAGTCAAGTGTACTGCGCTGAAGTTCCTTTTGTCCTACTATATGGCTATGAAACATAGCCATTTAAAGTAGAGGATATGATAAAACAGGCTTCAGGTATTTGACCGCTGTTTTCTTCGTAGCATAGGCCGTGTATTGCGGTATTACCACATCAGTAATGTAGAAGTTACTCAATGGAGGTTGTGAAGCTCCACTGACTGAGCTGACAGGAACATATGTTAAGCATGCTTAGGCACCGTCCGCCTCGTCACACAAGGCTGGCTAGTTAGAGGTGGCCAGACTAAAACATGACACCAATGGATGAAGTCCTTGACTGTTCGTTTGAGCCATGCAGGGTGATGAAGACTGGCTGGTTGGGATCCGTGGGATTAGAGGAAACAGTGGTTAAAGAATCTAGGTGATATAGCTCGAAATCGATATCAATGATGCAAATGCATCCAAACAGTATCTTCATCCTAACCACTACACTGAATTGAGCATCTTCTCATCCCTCTTACCTTTTATAGCTTTCTACTGCTTTTGACTAGCTCTTCCATAGTTCTTTATCTTTCATCTTAGTGCTTTATTGTTTGATTTAGTGATATACACCATTATGAAGTAATGCCTGGTTCTATGTTCACATTGATGATGCTGATGATGAGCTGAAGTGGGGAAGCTATGAGTGGTACTTGACCACTGCTGTCTCTGCAGCATCATGTAGACATTAGGCGTAAATTATCCCATAAGGATGATGGCTAGGATATATTACCCATACCAACTCACAATCCACCAATTTCAGTAGGTTGGATTGGGATACGTAATGATACCATTTCCTTTATTGCTAACGTCTGTCTGCCGATCTGATACCAGTCAGTCTATAAATCCTTATATGTGTTCCTTACCTTGAAGGGAAATGACTCACTTTTATACTGACCACTATAAAATATGCAAATCATTCTTCACTTTAATTCTCTTCAGTTTTAGGCTTTCGTTATTTGTAAATACACAACTAGTTCCGATTTGGTGCAGATATACTCTAGCTTTCGATAGTGTAAGCCGAGAAGTAATTTGGAAACTGCTTCAACACTACGGTTTTAGTGATATAAACCTTTATAAAACTCATTCAACAGCTATATGCCATGCTATATGATGAGGCTATATGCCAAATGATTCACAATAGAAAGTTCAGTCATGCCTTTAAAGTGAAGACATGAGTTAGACAAAGTTGCCACCTACTATCACCAATAGTCTTCCTGATTGTGGTCAACTGGACTAGATCGTGTAACAAACTGTGAGGAGCGAGAAAAAGGGCTGGACCGGTAAAAAGACCCTATACGATCTGGATTTCGCCGATGATGACTCAAGTCTAATGTCGCACAAACTCGAAGATCTACAGGCAAAAGCTAACAAGTTGGAAGAACAGGCATGGCAGCGAAGACGGGACTTCAGGTGAACGTAGAGAAGACAGAGGTGATGAAGATACCCAACTACCACCATCACCACCAACAACAACAAGCACCAATCACCATCAACAGGAGACATCTAAAGTTGTCTCTCTCATCTACCTACCTAGACAGCATCGTCTCAACTACAGGCGGCACAGGCACAGATGAGCATGTCAAAGTCAGGATCCGAAAATCAGCAAGACAGGCCTGCTTAAATTAGTCTCAAATAATCAGTGTGTAGATCTACTCCATTTCACTCAACATAAAGCGTCAACAACAACCGGATCATGAGAAGCATTTCCAACTAACTACACACATATATCACATCACATCACACATCAACATCTGCCGCCTGCCTACCCTCACTCCATACTCACACTCGACATCAGATCAGATCAGAACAGATGGCCAGATTAATAAGAATAAGCAACAACGAACTCACTCTGGCTGGCAACTAACCAATCAACAACCTATCGCCCGAAGAATATGCAGAAGAATGTGGAGATGGATTGGACATACATACACTGAGAAGACTGTTTGAGGACACCACGCGTCAGGTCGTCGAGTGGAATCCAAATGGGAAACGACGAGTTGTGCATCCGAGAGGAGATGGTGTGAGGAAGAAATGAAAGCTTCTGGGCAGTCATGAAGCCAGGTCCAAAAGACTGCAGAGAACAGAATGAGACGGTGTCGTAGTACTGAACCCTATGTTCCACTAGGAACCCAAGGGACAAACAAACAATAAAATAAATAGTATGTGTACTACATCGATACCACTCAGATGTAGTAAATTCCAACAAATAAAACGTTACACTAATGTGACACACTAATTAATTTAATAATTACATATCTCTGCCTATTTTTCGCCTTTTTTTCTGCAGTGATAAACCTATTTTAATGATGCTCACTTTCTATGTCGTAACCCAGAGTCCCTGAGGTTTCACATGCGTGAAATACGAACCATCGAAAACTAACAATGTACACTTTACTTCAAACAACCAACCGAAAATTACAAGAGTATCAGAAACATCCTGAAAATGAAATCAATAAAAATGCAATTCAGCAACCATACGCTTGTTTTCGAATTAGTCAATGAGTTACATCTATTGTGTGAGGATTACTGATACTGTCTAGTTGTAAAATACTTTGGCAAGTGGAGTAAAATTCGGACCAATGACCTAATAGTTGAGAATCAAGGGTCTAGACTAATTCATTTCAACTCCATTTTGTCATTACTTTCATTTTTATTTGCACAAGTACACAGAAAATATGCTTTTCGGCAACACAACTTTTTTCTGCACACGATGAGTGCACATAAGGGCTCCTATTAATTTTGAAGAAGCGTTTGACACTTGAACGGCACAAGGTATAATCTTTCTTATTTCCATCAGAGATAGAGAGATGAAATTAACGTGGAACATTGCACACAAGTTCATCGGTTGAGGTTGCCATACTTTACAGTAGTATACAAAGAACAGGCGGAGAGAAAAAGACTCAATTCAAAGTAGACAAAGTTGTGTGAGAGAAGATAAAGGTTAGTGTAAGTATTTAAGCTTAAGAAGACTTTAAAGAGTGGATACATCACCGCCGTTGTGACCGATTTTCAGCCATTCCACCGAGAGTTCACAACACATGATTCCAATGGTCTCGGGAAGTTAAGTCAGGTAATCTACACCTCCCTAAACGAATCAAACTAACACTCAGCAACTTCATGCACTTCCACCACAGAATTTTAGTTGCTCCAACCACTAAGTTTAAGAATCAAGGTATACTTCTAAACATTCTCAATTCAAACGAACCCTAAGTTAAACACTCAACCACTGAAAAAAACTACTTAGTGGTGATAAATACTACGCTTTACAGCAAATAAACCCATAATGTATATGAGTTCCTTGAAGTGAACAAACATAAAATGTGTCTAACGGTATGGATACTAAATAAAGTCAGATGGTACGAAAATGTAGATGAAGTTTCTGATATACAACTTCCACTATGCAACACTTCCATGAGGAGTAAGTATTCTATTTATTCGATGAAGGGGACTTTTAAATGAATAGGGTAGCAGGTAAGAAAATCTATAAAATCAATATGACACCTTAAACCCAGTAAATTTTACGAACGTTGCGTGTAATCGATGAAGGAACGGCATTCTTCTATGCATATAAAAGGTTAGAAACGATTATCACATGCAGGCTTAACATCCAAATCCTGCTCTGTCTACTAGGATCTAGGAAAACTGGTAGTATCATTAGTTCTCACCTATTAGATGTCTATCATGGCTTAATGCACTAACATTCACGTGGTTACTGAAAGTTCAGCTTCTTTTAGTTTTTTTTAGACTTAACATTAATAGGGAAAACACCAAAGGGAACAACCGACCGATAGCTGTTACCTTGACGGGGTGGTCGGGCTTGCATATCACAATGACCCAACGAGCTATGCTGGTGAAACACTTGTTCCCTAGAGGTCCTACCATACCAGAAAGGTCTGTTGGATAGTGGTTAGACGAAAAGCAGTTACCGTTGTGGTGTAAATTACTACATTATGATGGGGGTCTGAGGGCGAAGTCGTACTGCTGCTAGCTGGGTGGGGTGTGACAGCAGTAAGGTGTTCCCCTTCGATGACCAGCAGTGCCATGCTGATGCTGCCTTCTCAGTGGAAGGGGGGGGGTTAGAAAAGGTCGGCCCCAAAAATAACACACTCCACCATGCCCCACGGTCTGCCGGGCCGGCGGTGTTGGCTCATTTGTCGTTTCCTTTCAACCATCCAGCCCCAAAAATACAAAAGTTCAAAATAATCATACTCAAAAGGCTGAGTGTGACAGGCCTCAAGCAGATGTCCGATAGGCTCTGTGGTCAGCCGGGAAGTGTCAACTGCTCTCACAATTGTATCAGCACTCAAGTTTCCCCAGACTGCTTGATGAAAGGGAACACAAAGAGTCGATTAAATCAGGGGAAAAAATCCCATGAAAAAGGATATCATCTACATTAAAGCTGTTTTTTTATGTTAACATAACTTCAGTATCGATGAAGGGAAACCAGGCTTTCAACGGTTGAAAAATCCACAATACTAACCAATTAAGATTTTTCCTAACAAGTTATTCTTTTCTTACAAAAATCGGGCCTATATAATGGCTGAGACGACTAAAAAGGAATTGCACATATTCAACAATATTTTTCATAAAGTCCTTTATGACGAGTGAACTATGATGATGCTGAACTGAACATATGATATGCAATTTTATCCACAAACAAAAAGGAAACATTATCGTAATTTAGAAATACACTAGAAGTGTAAAACTGACTTATAGCTAAGTGAAAAGAGAGGACAAGAAAATAACTTTGTGGATGTAAATGTATTTAGCCAATGATTCAAAAATAACAGTCGATAAAACTGGTTTAATTTCTCAAAAGATTGTCATACGTGATATCTTAGTTTAAAATGTGCATAGATGAAAATCTCTTGTGAACAACAACAGACATATGCTCTACAGACTAAACGATTCCCTAAGAAGATATTCATAAAATCAACGCTAATTTGACTTATCAATAAAAAAATGAATGTAAAATGAGATAACAATGATATTTTCACAATAAAATAAAGGGCTAGTGTACTTACTTTCCAAACAATATGTGTATATTTCCTTCAACTTTCTTGACAAATAAAGTGCCGACAATTCGACAGGCATCAGGATTCTGATCATATGAAACCTTTTACTAATCAATGTATTATCAAAACTCTTATAGGAATTTAATTGTAAATCGTATTTCCATAACCGATCTTGAATTACGTGATGATTTGAACGCATAGCTCCAGCAAGTAATTGTCGGTTCTTTAGACATATGAAAGGGGAAAACATGAAACAATGATTATATTCATTTCTAAAGGTACTAAGCAACAAGTATGTATTTAAAATCCCCCTGGCATGTATGCTACAACAGAAAAAACATCACCAACACAGTTTAAAACAAATTATGACAACCTATCAACACAGTAAGCTGAAAAGATTCCATAAACAACCCAGTGTTCAAGACAGGTAAACATCAACTGCTAACGAACAGCTCTTCTATTAGCCTAATTATTACTGTTCGAACAAAATTCCCAACTCAGTGCTCATTTGCACTATCATGCATTAGGCAGTGGACTGTACGCATTGTAAGAGAGCATGTGATACTAACTGCCTGTCTCAATCATCATCATGGTCATCAGTATCAACAAAAGACTAGGCATTACTGCATAACGATCCGAGTTGCCACACCTCATATCGGTACATCTAGTGAGAAAGCACTAGGACGAAATACAAGAGAAAAAAATCGGTCGAAAGGAGTAAAACGTATTAAAAGGGAGGGAAGAGAAATGAAAAAAATACTGAATTTAGTGTCATGATTAGGATGAGGATAACATGTGGATACATTGTCACATCGATTTTGAGCCATATCACCTAGTTTCCAACTACTGATCCTAACCAGGAAGTCTACATTCTCCTACACGGTTCAGACCGGGAGTCAAAGATTTCAGGCAGTGACGCCTTGTTTTAGTCTGACCACCTCCAACTTTTTTCCATCCTAAGCCGACCTCAGCTAACATTGTGAGACGTGGCAAATGGTAGTTAAGCATACGTAACATGTGTCTTGGTTGTGTTGTGTTCTCTGAGCTGGGTTGTTTAATCGTGCTGACGACGTCTAGAAAGACGATGAAAGCTTCACGATCAAACGACCCAGCTCAGAGAACACAATAGAACCAAGACCGTCCAGCTGAGCTACAAATATTCTCCACTATTTCAAAGTTATACGAGCATAACACGCTTTACGTAGTTCAAAGATGAGAGGACTTCTCCAAAAGCCAAGCTTCCACAAAAGAACAACTATTCTTTCTCCATGAGTGCCTACGTCAGCATGTTCTGCCGAAGTGTCAAATATAGACCACCGATTAACTGTCCAGTGGGATGGAAAATAGCCGAACAAAATGGAAGACAAGTGGTACAATTGATGATCAAAGATGCACATCATCGGATCCGGTGATGATTAACAATCAAAAGGCAAAACTAGAAACGATACTCACGACACAACACATGACAACGTTGACAACTGCAACTGAATAATCAAGCAGACGATACAAACAACAACGAAGAAAGGTCCTCAGGAAAAAGCTACTCAAAATCTCAGAAGTACGCAACATATGTCTTAGCCACCTGAGTCCATGAAGCGTCACAAGTACATCAAGTGACTATTCTCTCCCATCTAAAAACTACACCTGATTCCTCTATTACTGACGTGGTGACATCACAACACAAGATCAATGCTATGAAGGCAGCCGTGGTCGAACACCTAAAGCCTTCTACCTATAGTAGAAATGGATCGTTTTCAAAGATGATATGGAATGATTGACTGAGATAAGTGAAGGAAGAAGAGGTGAGGAAATGGAATATCGACAGGTGTAGCAGTGTCTAAACCCGTCACCCAACGACTGAAACTCCAGCATCCAGATCGAAGAATCACAACCATAAATCCTGACGTATGAAAACCAACCCTAGGGAACATGCAGAAATGTATATTAGCCAAGATAGTTGTCACCAGCATGTAACTGATAGGTGACTAGTACTTCATGTCAATGAGCTTTAGAGTGATCATAAACTATAGTTAAAAGATATCTGTACACTGAAATGTAATGGTAACAAAAAGGTTCCGGGTACCCAGATTTCTAAGTAAAGCTGCTAAAATGATTTCATGAACACCAAATCAGGATACTGTATCCCACATACATGATAGCCATTTTGAATACGGCTATCATATATGTAGTCATTGCTTCAGAAAATAAGTCAATGCAGTGCATCGCATTCAAATATTTAGGACAGAATTACTGGTCAATCTAACCTATCATACCAGCATTCAAAAGGATTATACCTACTTTTTTAGTCTTATCTTAAGAAAAAGGTATCCTAAAAAAATGAAGGGGTTGTCCGTTCTCTCTCAGCATCGAATACCTATGAAGTCATCATGACAAAAAATGAGAAAACCACGGTATAAATCATTTGACATGAGTATATACTTCCCAATGTTTAATGAGTGGAATTGTCTACGACAGTATGAGATATAAGATCGTTCAATTAGCACGTTTAGGAAGAAACTATCTATGTGGATATCTACTGCAACGCATAAGACAGACCAACCGGCTTTCTGTGTATTACATAAAACTGATCCCATATACGAAAATTGTTGTCAAATATTCTCCATATTCGAAAACCAAGGCTTGCAGTAGTGGTGACGAGACATAATTAACTTAACAGCATAATACATACATATATCTCTATCATTCCCAAAGTAATATGCTGCAATTATCATACTGAGCAAATAAAAATGTGAAATAGGTATGAAAAATGGGGCAATTCCATAAGATAAAGATAATATACGCACCTTGAATGCAGTGTGGTCTGAAGGGCTTAGTTCGAAAAACACCGGCACATATTGTATTTCTTCTTTGTCAACCAGTGAAGACCCAACAGTATCTACCACATCCATAGAAATAGCTACACCAGAATATGTAAAGAGTTTACTTACCATCACATGGAGAAGCAACAACAATATCAACATTGACCTTTACTTTTCTAGACAACAGAAATTTAGAAAGAAAATGATTTTACCCAGATATTAACCTGTCTACTTCATAAGTATAACTGACTGGAGGGTTAAGATAACGGCGAAATTCCACCACAAGCAACCAAAATATGCAAACAAATGTAAGAATTGTGACTAGGGTGAATCACAAATTTCTAACTTGAATATATACCTAAACCACCACTCCATGTCGATTTCTTACATTCTTGTGGAAGTTTTGTGAAGACATCCAAGTTGCTTATTTTCTGAGAAACAGTAGGTCTTAATTCTTCATTCGCCAACCCCACATTTCGCCGCCTGACCTCCATAGAGCCCAGAAATTTAATGCTTCGATCAAGGTAAGAGCATTAAAAGTGGAATATTAAAACAGTTCACAACAATATCCAATACCTCTTCCCGCTCACTCCCATGTTTCGTGAAACAGTTCCAGGTCTTGGGCGAATTCCGATTCAGTAGACCCATCCACTCGTCTGCTATAAGCTCTGGTATACACAACAGGTGGTTTGGTGTTGGTTAGTTTGCCTGAGACTGCGTTGCAGTGTAACAAAATAACAAAGCTTGTCCTAGTTCGGAAGAGAATATCCTATTAGGTAAAACGGTACTTGCTGAATACATTATTTAATGGGTTAGTTTTATATGTAGCCCTATTATTTCTAGGCATCTCAAGCTCAAATGGTTCAAATGGTTGTTGACGGAATAAAAGAAGCTTCCACTTAACTGGCTTCCACCTTAAAAACCTGTGGACCATTACTTCTTGTGGTTGTTAAACTGTGTACAATTAGAGAAGGAGGAAAAATTGGCGGTTAAAGTGTAAAAATTCAGTTGGTTCCTGGCAGATCTCAGCCACATATCAAATAATTATCCAGTCGGCTTTTAAAGGATTCAGGCAATGCAGCCCGAATCATGCCTTCAGAAAGAGCATTCCAGAGTGTAACACCTCTTGAGTAATGGACGTTGTGCCTAGTGTCTAACCTGCTGTGTTCCAGGCTCAGTGCTACAGGTAAGATTGAATAAGCGGTGGGATGGGTTTCCAGGTGTGCCGCAAAATGGGTTTCTGTCATGGTGTAGGATTTTGAGTCTTCAGGGGCTAGAACACCCGTATCCTTCTGCGTTAGTGATGTTTCAGGTTCCATGCCATCGAGGCTATACACATGAGATGTATCGTGTTTTACGCGTATCGCCTTGGATTTTTCAGGATTAAATGCCAGCCCGTTGTTAACTGTTCAGTTTTGAAGCTGAGTCAAATCTTCCTGTAGAAAACCAGTCTTCCCCCTTCTTATTTCTCTCCACAATTTCATGTCATTGTCAAAAAAAGAATTCCGGAAGAGGCCTTTTAAGGTAGACCATTTATGTACATTAGAAAAAGAGGAGGCCGCAGTACTAAGCCTTAGGGAACGTCACTCTGACACTTCCTCCATAGGCATGGGGGAACTCATTCAAACTCTGAATGAAGGACCTTGTAGATATGAAGGCAGCCAATCAATGGGCTCGTCGTTGAAAGCTGACTTCCAGTTTCTGGATATAAGGATACCACGCTGGAAATGCAGCAGCGTTATCCATCAAAGGTGGTTTATAATGTATGTATGTGTGTGCACGTATGTATGTATGTAGACATAAATCACTTTCAGTACAGTGAAATTGGGCCCTCACAAATTATTCATTTCACAAGACAACAAAGGCAGGGGGAGCTTCAGCATATTGGTTGCCTGTACCCTGCCAAATGTGAGCCACTGTGGGACTGTCTCTTCTACTGAGGATGATTTTCTATCCAAGGTTGCAGCATCAGCTGCATGTAAAGGCTGGGAAGTTTCTGAAGGCTTTGGTAGGAGAAGCTTAGGTGATACCGCTAGGGAGGTAATTCCAAATTTTCGAGGCCTTAGCAGATAAGCTTTGCGTTTTGGGATCAAGAACCCTGTAATTTCAACGTTCACTTACCCTATCTAAATGCACTGAATGCATTGTCAATAAGCTATATACTATATACCTAAGATTGCGTGAAACTGCACGCGGCATTCATAGATTGCATCAGGTATGCATGGGTTCAGGTTGTCACTTTTATTTTATGGTCAAAAGGCGCATCCAAGAGTTCTCATCGCACCCTAGCTACCCTACATCTGGGCCCTGCTTAAATGTGCTTATCATTCATGAAGTTAGATCGCCATACTAAAGTTCTGTATTTTAGATTTGGGCTGATAAAGTTGCTGTGTGGGGCTTCGTAACTGTATATTACAAGTCTACTGAATACTGTGAGGATCATTTTTAGCACTCAGCTGACTTTCTCTGCGGTTCTAGATATATTCGAATGGTTAATAGGCTCATCAGATCTTGGCACTTTCGTATCATGCGCTTCACCAGCTTCTGACACTGTTCTTTTTCCAGCCATATTCTCTCGGTCTGATGAGCACCTGATGCACGTGACTTAGCGCTTGGTTTTACTCTAATCTAGGTGTCTTCCTGGTGCCCACTTAATCGCTCCTGGTAAGCGGGGGCCTACCAGTTTTCCACCATGTCGTTAGGTCATCTGCACGCAATATTGGTAGGGGTCCTAGAATCACTGATCGGACATTTTGCAAACCTCAAAAGCAAGAGGCCAAGTAGTAAACTTTGTGAGACACTCTTCTGACAGAAGGACTGGGCCGAGCAGGAATCATTAAGTGTCACTATAAAGTATCGGTTCTTCAGATGTTAGACAAGCCAGGTCAGGAGTTTTCCGTTCGCTTGGGCAGAGCCATCTTTAGTAGGAGGACGGTGGAAACTAACCACGCCGATGGCTTTCTGAATTTCGAGATAGGGTATTTACGTTTGGCTCTTGCATTTCACTGCAGCTGTTCACTGATCGACGACCGGGCTTCTCTGGCACTTCACCTAGCAAAGAATATACCTCCTTGATAATGCTGCGTATGCAAAACCATCGCCATTGGCCTGGAGTTCTCCAAATTTTCATTCCCATGCACCACAAGGTCTAATTCTAATGGCGTAAATTTGTATTGCCGTGAATGGTACTGCTTGAAGAGAAAGAAATGCGTGGACATAGGTATTCACTTGAATCACACATTTATGAGGAAACTTGCTGATTCTCGAAATCTCTGGTTTGGGTCCTTTTGGTCTCTGAAGCTATGAGCATAAGAATTCATGGTAAATCAGATGTTTATCTGTTGTAACGTGACACCATGAAGACGAGTCAAACATTTCGACTGATTGTGACGGGGAATCTGGAATTTTGCGCAATCTTGGTGCCACCTTTAGGGAAAAATGTATGGCTGAAACAATCCAAACTTTACTATATGCTGAAAAGTGACATATACTTGTTCCCTTCATAACCGACGGGGTCTTCGGATGTTTTCAATAGAATTTAATGACTTCCCACCAGTACCAGTCAGGACAAGTAAAATCTTGTAGGTTTCCCAGCATACACTAGTGCGATGATGCCTGTAAACTGGCTTCTCTCATGTTAGACTTCCAAAGTGAGAACAAAATACTTACTTATCTATTTGTTGAGTGAGTGAGTAGGCGAGGATTGACACTACTTGAGTGCTGCGCTACTCATTTGTGTCTACCGTTGAGTTTCAGTCAGACGATGTTTGTTCTTATTCTTGAGGTTCGTACTTACCGGAGACGGTTGTCTGAGCAGTTTCGGAAGACGATCGCCGTTATCTGTTCGCTTTGCTGGGATTCTGAAGCTGCCACCTAAGTGCCTTTGTTTCTGACCTACCCTAACCATTTTGTACTCACATCATCCACTGCGACAACCGCGCTCGAACTTTTTGGTTTTCGGTGGGTGTCAGACATTACATAGTGGGACTCACCTTCCACTTCTTCCGAACTGAAGTGGTTTAGCACGTGGACAAAGATCATGGAGAGACAGCGGTGGTTTTCACAGCCCACCTTTGTGGCCACTTCAGCGTCTAGTAAAACAGCGCACAGGTGACTGTCAACTAGGATCCATTAGGGTATGCCACTTCATACCTCAGCATTTAATGTTATGCCTGTACATACAAAATATCAAGAACTAGTCCTAGAATCTGCATAGACTGAAAGGGTGTGTTTAGAAACTCCACAACACCGGCCGGTCGATGTTAAAAGAATAACAGCGCCTGCTTCCCATGTGTTTGTCTTACGTTCACAGCACACCTCTCCCGCCTGATACAGCAGAACCTTGGCTAGCGAAGCTTGTTGGGTGATCTGACTGAGAGTGAGGACATTGACAGCTACACTATATGGTTTAGAGCATGGATTCAGGAGATCAGAGAGGTTGTTTCGCGAACCCATCTCGTTTTCAAGAGCTGCGGGGCTAGAAGAAATTAAATGTGGTTTAGTGGTATTGACCAAGAGACGTGAAAGAATATCAGAAGTTGGGGGTTGGAAGGTGGACGGTGGTCTGTTGGAACTTGAGGGCCAATAGAGTTGTGAGCGTGGCAGCTACTTCTGACTTCCCACACCGTGGAGAGTCACTTCTCATCGAGATGTCTGTGATGGAATTGGGTTTTGCAACGTTGGTGCGCTCCCGGAGAGCCGAATGCAGATTCGCTAGTGGTCACTGACACACAACTGTTGTAGAAATTTGAGATTTGGCCCTGGCCGATTCGCTCTCAACAGCAAAGCGCGCTGCCATCACTCCACAGAAAGGAGCATTCTTCCCCGAACCCCTATTCCAACTAGGAGATGGAACTATCGTGGCACTGTTGGTCGTCCATGAGAAACGTCTTGCCGCTCCCACATCAGCGCTTACTTCACCTTGAGGCCACCATCGCTGAGTAGAAGTGTAAACGATTCGATGGCTTCTTTCTATCTTATCGCCTTGAGGGAACAAGTTTTTCACTGTTATAGCTGTCTATGTCATTGGTAGCAGCAGGTAGGCTGGCACAAAATCCTTTTAGCGGACTCCTCTTCGTAAGCTGTGTTTGTGATGTATTAGAGATCCCGATGTATACTGGTCAAAATATCCGCATGGTTGTACTTCGGATACTCCCCTGCTTGTCCCTTACTTGATGCATGTGAAATTGATGTTTTATACTTTCCTGGCTGAATACCAATCTATTGTTTAAGACCTTGAATTTCAAACTGTCTGCCGTTACCTCAGCGTCCTCCATCGTAAACATTACTCTAGCTTACCTACAGCTGTTTCTTATTGTTTGACATGATTGCCATTTAACAGCCTACTACTTGGGAGTATCATACCACGGATTATTAATAAAAGATGCAACTGAAATTCCCGACTAGAACATCATAAATACCAGATCGACGCAGTTTCATCGCTACAGAACAAAACGTTTGCAGCCTAAGAGTATTTTTGAAGCTTGGAATGAAC